CTTTCGAAATGTGAAGATATACGAAAATTTTCATTTTCGATTGTTTTGCCATTACTATAAATTACCCTAGGGGAAGTTAATAATTCGGAAAAACTGAACTCTAGCGAAGATGAAAATTGCAGGAGTATAAACTTTTCGACTTTATTTTGAAATCTAGTCGCAGTTTGTCGAAGAAGATTTCAATTAATTTTGGGTTTTATTGTACGAATATTCAAAGAATGAGGTTTAATAAACCTTGTTGCAAAAGCTTCTTTAGTATTTTAGATGAACCGGGAACTTCAACTTTACTCGATGTCAAAAATCGAGATTTTCTTCATATCCTTCAACTGAAATGTTCATTTTATGTTTATTTATAGAATAAATTATTCGAAAGTCATCGTACATAATGTAAAATAAAATTACATTGATTTTACTCTCCGAAAAATGAGTGACTATAAACTTGCTTTTTTCAAATCAAATGATCTCCAACAGTATGAACAACATTATCAAGATCTTTATACTTAGACACATAATCGTTTTTAACTATACGTACGTAACGTGGAAAGCAAAAAAAGCTGACAAGTATGTTTGTCATTTTCATATAAAGATTGTACTTTTCAAACACCAATGACCAAGTAATTATCCGACCATAAATTGTATACTTCAAATCTGTTATTATTCACAATTAAAGAATTTTATTTGCAGGGAATTAGGGGGCGTCCATTAATCACGTGAGTGAGTTTTTGAATATTTTTGGATTTTTGGTTTCACATATCAAACCCATTACCACATTTTCCCTTCTTTTTTTGCACATTTTTAATGTATTTTTCAATCTTCTGCTTTCATGCTTTCTAGTCTTGCGCTTTGGCTTCTAGTTCCCTTTATTTTCTTTTCTTGCGTATGTGATCAATCATCTGTTTTTTCCTTCTTCCCATTACTCTCAGTCCTTCTATTTTACCTTCGACTACATCGTGTAGTAGGACTCTTTTCACAGAACGAGTCCGATATGGGTTCGGTCCAGTTGCCTTTAATCTTCAGGATCGTGCTCAGTAGAATCTTTTTCCTACACTTTGCAAGACTTCTTAATTTGTTATCTTGTCTGTCCACTTTATTTTCTCCATTCGCCTGCAGCACCAGCACATTCTAAAACCCTCCAGGTAGTTCTTGTCGGCCTTTCTTGGAGTTTGTGTCTCTGATCCATTTTCTTTGAATGAGCGCAGAAAGTATAAGGATACAGATCAGAGAATGTATAGACATTTCTAAATATATATATTTTTTTATTTTTTTATACCAATGTTTTACTTAACTTGTCAAACCTCAGTACAATTTCTTGCTTAAGGTCGATACACATGATGTTAGAAAATCCCTGGCCTTGACAATATTAGAATGTGATATATTCATTCCAGGTACCTGATTTACCTAACTTACTACACTTACTTGTTAAGTTGTTAATAATCATAGCCCATCCTGAAGTAATAACTAAAGATAGTAAGCTAGCACAAACAAGATCCTGGCACAAACCCAAACACGGCTAATACGATATCAAGTGGAATATATGAAAATTTTCACTTCAATTTATATATAAATTAAAAATTGCTTCTCGTAGGCATTGCTGCAACCTATATACGCCAACACATATCAACCAAAAATACATAGCTTATATACATACAGCCTACACTTCTTTTATCTATGGCCTGTACATAAAAAGAAGAGTAAATGAACCGCTGGGTTGCTCTTTCAATAAAAATACTTGGTTAGAATGTGCGAGAGGAAACACAGTTCATATAACAAATAGTTTTGTTAGCTTGTTAGCTGTGTAAAATATAGTAATAACTATCATCAGCTTATTCTGATGTAGAGCAAATCTCTTAACTTGTCATTTGCTTAACTCGGTAGAAGAATATTAAAGCAAAGGTACCTTTAATATGACGTCATATAACAAATTAGTTTCTTAGGTTAAAATAAAACAGTCGAACTATCTCATATTTATCTTTTCATAAATATAAAAGTCCTATAATGCTATTTTCTAGGTTTTTAAACCAACAAAATGCAAAACCAAACATTTTGAAACATTGTTGGAGAGAATTGGAAAATATTCAACTGAAGAACAAAGTAAATGAAATAAATATTTCTCAATCATAAATTTAATATATTTCTAATATGTTGATATATAATTCTAAAAAATTGATACATTTTTAGTTGCTGAAGAAAGAGCAAGAAAATATAAAAGAATACCATTAATAAAGGTTAGTATTGTGTTGCGGCTCTTTATATAAATATTATAATTAAATCGGTTTTTACAGGTTATTTAAGTATAAAGATCATAATATCTAAGACTTCAAATGCTCCAAACCTTTATCATCATACAAACTTTCATCAAAATTATCAGTTTTTTTTCAACAATTGATTACGAACACCAAACGAATCAGTCCAATTCGTTCTTGAATTTTCAAAATCGACTTCGGATTTTTGGCTAAATCGTAAATAATTTTTCTGCATTTTCAGTTAATTATTTTTGTCGAAAAAACTAACCGACGAAAGTTTATCGAGTTTCATCGATTGGCAAACAAAATTTTTAAAGCCAAAATAAAAACCTAGCCCAAAAATTAATTCACATACTTTTTCCAAACGATTCATAGTGAATTAGGACATCGAAAAAAAATTGGCTTTCATTTTTTCTTTTTCTTTGCAAAGTTAATACCACTAACATGAAATATCTTAGCCATGAAATAACTTAGTTTCTTATTTTCAGTACACAATTCCTGCAAAACCGTATGACCCTTACAAAGTAACAGAAGGGCTAGACACCGTATACACTAAAGAAAGTATTATAGCAGGTTATAAGGGCCACATTCCGGCGAGACATATATTGTAAGTGCAGAATTATACATTCAAATAATAATTTATGTATTTAATCTATTCGAATTAAAATCTTATTACAGTGTTGGAAAATCAAATCATTACATATCAACCGATGCTAAAAAATCATTAAGATGGGAAGTTAACGGTGAAGGATGGGAATCACCAGTGATTGAATACAAACGGTTTTTAAGATATAAAAAGAAATGAAAGAATTTTGTTATAGAAATCTGATTTTATAACACTTTGAAATAATTAATTAGCGAATACTTTTTTTTCTTTATTTCAGACAATCAGAATTACAAAAATGTTTCTGTGAGACTATCTGCTAACTAACATCACGTTGATGAATCTTCTTCAATGAGAAGATTTTCTGTGAGTTGACCCACTATAATATGAACACTCGAAAGCTTATTAGATAATATAATATTAAATGGTTTACGTGAAGTCTTATAGCCACTTTTACTTTAATCTTCTAGTGGAGATGTATTATAATTCAAAATTTGTTACATGCTAGGATCTGAGTATTCCTTTTGTGGTATTTATTGCTGACTTTTTTAATCATTTTGCTCTCTGTGTCTGTGTAACATTAGCTAGGATCGCAGGGTTATCCTCAGATGCGTGGCGAATTTCCGTAATCACTCCGTAACATTGTTGGATTGTCGAATGCTGCTTCCTAAATCCGAATTGATCTGCCGGTATGATCCTGTGCTTACTGAATGGCTTAGATTTCCTGGCTTCGACATCATAATGATATCTGATTATTTAAAGATTTTTGCCTAATGACCAAAATTTAAGGTAGCGTTGAAGATATAAGAAATCATAAAAAATTGCTTATTTAAATAACTTATTAAATAATTTTGCTTTTATTACGTTCAAACTTGCACTATTAATTTATTTTGTTGTTATTGGTTTAATTCGTTCAAAAGTCTCTACCGAACCTTCGTCAGATATATATAATCTACATTTGGATCGGTATTGCTTACATTTCGTTGAAATACATCGGAACATCGGCGTTAGATGATTGTTTGTTGTGGTCTGTTATATCATTAGGAATAAGTTATTCGAAAATGTCCCCTATGATCGATTCCGAATTTAGGGTTTTAATTTAAACATTCTAAATGAAATAATAATATAATCTAGAAAATGTTTTATAAATTCTAATGAATATTAAATTATGCAAATAAGTGCTTTCAGAGCACCGAGTTTAAGAAAAATATGATTTGCAAAAAAGAGTGCTATAACGCCAAAGAGTGCATTTTTATATTGACATTTTAAACAAGTTGATATTTTGAGTTTCTAATAACACTTGCCGCCCGCTTAATAAATAACGTTTTTGTGTATAAATAAAACTACAAACAAAACTACCTACGACAATTAGATAATATTCATCTAAAACATCCTATTAAAAGTAATTGGACATCAACTGTCAAAAACATTTGACATTTGACATAGGAGCCGCCGACCAATGTTTCATTCAAACCCAGTAAACCACAAACGTAACATAAAGTTAAAGTAAAGTAGCACAGAAGAAACGTTGTTATGTATTTTATGGTTACGTTAATAAAACGTAAATGTTACGTTTAATTGTAACCTTTAAACGTTAATGCATGGTTTTCTTCATAACGTAACCGTTCAGTTACAGTGTTTTGTAAGTTTAACATACAAAATGGACGGTGTGGTACAGCTGTTTCACAAAACTGTCAAAAAGATAGGTTACGTGTTCTACTCTTTTATGTATGCGAGACTCTATGCACGAAAATACAATTGAAAGTTATTCGTGACTCTATATATTTTACTTTTCTGTCTATGACTAATGGCTCTAATGGACGCTTCATATTGAAGATCTTTTGACAAGCAAATTATTTCATTCTTTTGAAGCATTTATTTAATCATTATTTATATGATTAATATTTTATATGATTAATGTAGAACGTATTAGTTATGCAGTGTGCAGTTAAAATGTTTAAAATGGAATCGATCAAGGTAAGTATAAATATAAAACATGTGTAAATTATTTTAATTTATATATTATTATAATAATGATTTTTTTTTTCAGTATATAGTTGGACCTTAATGGAAATTCTATTCGCGTATTTTGTTATTTGTAGTTGTTTTCATCAAATGTATGTTTATCAAATAATAATTAAATTCTACAAAAAAATCATAACCTCAATGATTATTGCAATGTTGAGTCAAAAGGTTAGTAAAAATGAGATATACAAATACAAATTTAATATTTGTAGCCCCTTCAGTAACAATAATATAGTTCGGCTAAACAGGAATAAAAACTAATACAATGGTTTTCAATTGAAGAAATATAATGACTCAGAACATAATAAAGATATTTGCTCAAATAAAGATTATGAATGCAAAGTAAGAATATAAAATAATAATCCACCATCATCACGAAAAAATGATTTGAAGAAGAATAAATTTTTTTACAGCAATAAATGATGACACTCGTGTCATGTGTCATGGAATTGGTATACCCCATTATGATAGTTAGAGATGATTAGATGATTTAGTATTAATTTTTTATGATTTAGTTTTAGCAAAAATATGATTTAAAAGTCGGTGGATGAAATTTGGCTGAACTGACAAGAAACAATTAAGACAATATTTGAGCAATACGTTCATAAAGGAATTAGCTGCACTTTGTTCTTAATAAATAATGAAAGTAAATAGAGGTAATTAGAAGTATTGTTACAATTTATAATAATAATCACAATATTTCCAAATCATAACCTTCTATTGTTTTTACTTCAGCAAAAATATATTTAAAAATTCAGAGACTAAAATCTTCTTTATTGTCTAAAGTGTAATTCGATGAAGAATTAATATGTTTTTGGTATTGTTGAAAGGACTGCCTAGCTGTCAATAACTTGAAAATAATGAATATTTTTAGAGGTAATGTTACAAAAAATTTAAATCAATATTATCAATAAACAATTTGTAGAAATTGTTTCTAACCTGTTTGGTTCTGTTTTAGATACATTTACAAACAGAAAGCAGTGAAATGGTTTCAATTTGATAAACAAAGGTTGCCAAGAATTTTACACAAGACTTATTTTCAATGGTTAAAATTTTATAATCAAAATAAAACATTTAATTCCATCCTGTTAAATAGAAATTTGTTAGAATTGTTATTTTTTGTTTTAGATTAATCAAATTTTTAAAATCCAAATTTATATTCTGTAGTTTTGTAATTTTAAGTATATGTTATGTAAATTTTGTAAATTCTTAATTATAATATGAAATAAAATTAATATAAAAAATGGTTTCTATATTTACAGGAAATTTTATTAAATTTTTAAGTTACATCAAAGACACCTACACGTTAATTTAGTAATTTAGAAACCTAACAAAAACGAAACCGTTACGTTTTCGCGCAATTTGGAAACGTTACATAAACGAAACCGTTATGTTTTCGCGTAACTAAACAGGCCGTTACGTTTTTGAGGCGGAAATAGATACGTCTGTGTGCCTCTTAGGTTACGTAACCGTTATGTTTTACGTATAATCTGTTACGTTCTATTAACGTTTTCATTACGTTTTGTGGTTTACTGGGAATTACGCTTCTACAAAAATTTTTAAATTAAAAATGTTAAGTTTCTACGATTAGCACGACTGGCCAGCAAGACTAAGACTGGCCAAATCCATACAACCATTTTAACGTTTTACCATACCTAACATTTTACCGAGCTCCATTTTTATATATTAGAAGAAGAAGATTAAGTCATCAGTTTTAGACATTGCTTCAATAAGACATTTTTTATGAATAGAAGGCCTGCTTCTTTGAATATTTATACCAGCTTCATAACTTTTAGTCGATAAATCATTTTCATTCAAATTTTCAATAATTTAAATTCCTTTTCGATTTTTGTACAAGAGCTATAACTTACCCTTAAGGCGGATCCACACCTAACGAACGAACATGAATGTACGTACCAGAACAAACGGCAACAGCATAGTGTGGACGCCACAACGAAAACGAACGAACATAAACAAACATGGCGAGCAATGTTCCGCAACTTGTCGGAACATCAAAGAGAATTGTTCGTTCATGTTTGAACTCGTATGTGCAGTGTGGACATAACGCACAAAACTGAAAAACTATAGTCCTAATCGAGATACATCAAATCGCTTTTAAATTTCTGAAATCAGTTCAGGCGTTTTTGAGAAAACGTCGATCAAAGGTCTAATTTTGACAAATGCCAAAAAAACGATACCAATTTTTGCAAACTTTGACGAATTTTTAAAGCTAAACGAGTTGTCGTAGGGCCGTAATATTTTAGTATGATCTAGAAGACTATGATATCTATCGTCAAAAAAATAAAAATAAAAATTGTCGAAAAAAAATTTTTTACACTTTATTACAAGAAAACGGCCCGGCCGATCTTTACCAAAAACTAATCAGCTCAATTCCCAACCAATATCTTTCGAACGGTTTTTGAATTTTCATAATCGGTTCAGAATTGCGGGCTAAAACGTGCACAAAAAATTTTTCTTTTTTTTGCTATTTAAAAGAAACGTCTCGGCCGATCGTCCCACAAAACTGACAAACGATAGTCCTCATCGAGATACATCGAATGGCTTTTAAATTTTTGAAATCGACCCAGCCGTTTTCGAGAAAACGTCGATTTACGGCAAAACATCTGTTCACATACACACACACACACACACATACTTTTTCCAAATTTGATCTCATACGATTCAGAATGGCTTAAAACGTCGAGAAAACATAAAATTAGCGAATCGGATTTTTTGATGAGAACATAAACTTCTCCTTCGGGATGTTAATAAAGTTAAAACCGACATACATTTTATCTTTGTTTAACAAATGGTATATGTGAGTTAATTAGAAATTATAAGAGTCACTTATATTTAATGGAATATTTTTATGCAGGAGATAGTCATGAGGTACGATAATTCAATTTGTCGCTAACTTACCATTAAATAAGATGATTCGGTTGATAATATAATTTTGGAACACACAGCTGTAAACATAGATAAAAGAAGAGTATAGAGGCTGTAAAAATGTCAATGCATATAATTACAAGTTCTTTGGAATAAAATATTTTGAAAATTGATTATAAAGCTCGCATTCACTTTTCTATCGAGAGATAAACGGTAATCTTTGAAAATCCTTAACAAAAGTATTTCCTTTTGTTCTTAGTTTTTCGGGTTGTGAGCACTGTGATTTAGTTCACGAGACCTTAATATAAATTTTAACTAAACGCTATTTAATTGTTTTATTGAAAGTAATGTTAATTTTGAGTGAGATTCAACAGTTTTTTTTTATATAACCAATTTAAAAACTCAAATCTGTGTGGGGCAAAATTGACCAACTGAACATTGACCATGGCTAAAGACTAAAAAAGACTTGGATTGAATTATACCATATTTTTATAGAAAGTGCATAAAACTTTCAGTTTGATTGTATTAACAAAATATGGATAAACGAATATTGTTATTATGAATTATATAATTCATTATTATACAAGTAGACTTTGGGGTTTATTGTGTTTATAACACCTCATTGTCTGTACCCTTATCTGTTTCCTTATCGATGTCTGTACCATTCAAAAAACACAACCTTACACTCCTAAATAAAGTATTCTTTTTTTATACTCTAGAAATTGTTCAGACATACCTTATACTTATTTTTAGAAAAACAACGTTTGCCGGGTCATAGCTGTAAATAAAAATGAAACACTGAAGATTGAACAAATCGCCATTTTCAAAAATAATAATGATATGAATAAGCACCCAGTAAACCACAAAACGTAACAAAGCCATGAACGTTACGTAACGCTGGCACGTCCGCACGAACCAGGTACGTAACCTGGGAGGCACACAGAAGCATCTATTTCGCGGGCAAGAACGTAACGGCTGTTTCGTTGCACACTAATACACCGCGGTTACATTTTTGCTACGTATCTAAATTGAATAAAAAAGCGTGTAGGTGTCTTTTATGTTACATACTTATTTAATTAAATTTCCTGCAAATATAGAATATTAATAATAATTTCGGATATTTAGTAATTTTATTAAATATTATCATTTACAATATACAAAATTTACATATTACATAGTTAACATTAGAAAACTAAAATTTGATAGTCCATAAAATGTTAGCCTATAAAAATAATTATTTATTTATTCATAATATGCATTATGTTTAACTCTCTTGGCAACTTCAGTTAAATCAGACTTGGCAAAGTTAAGTCTAGCGTTAAATATGTTCAACTCACTTGCATCTGTTAATGTATCTAAAATAGAACCAAACATCTTAGAAACATTGTACACAAATTTTGAATTGAAAACATTGTGAACAAATTAGTCATTTGTGAACATTACCTCTAAACATACTCATTATTTGAAGTTAATGACTATGTAGTTCCTACGATCATATGACAGATAACTATTCCATGAACACACACTCAATTTTCTTGCATTGATTTTATCCTATTAATTTTCAAGATCTGAATTACCTAAAAGTAAAACACTACAAATTAGTACCAAATCATATTAGTTAAAATTCTCTTCATGTAGAACCTTATATACCAATTCTGTAATGCAAGATCATCAGGCTCGAAATACTCAACAATTCATGTTCTCTTCAACACTTAATCCATATAATGTGTGATATCCGGTCCATTCTTTGTTTTCCTTCTTGAATGTTTTTAAGTCTTGCTTGTTTCTTTGGTGACAATTTATCTTCTTGATTAGAGCAAATTTCCCTAGTTTGAATTCCATTTTGACATAACCCATAGGGGTTATGAGCACTCTTTCTCTACAATTGAAAAGCAATTTATATCAGTTTTTGCTAAACTGAATAGTTCTGATACTAATGAAATTATAAAGAATATGTATGATACCATATATATTACACTTATCTACCTATAATATTCATATCATATCACTGAATTGAGGCTATGTGATTTTTGACTGGTCTGTCAGAAATTTCAATAATTATGTGATAAATCAATTATCACAATACATAAACAGAATTTGCATTGCACATGACCTATATACTGAAAATAACTAATTAGTCATTAATATAATAATTTGTAAATTAAAAAAAAAACAGTGCAATTATACTCACCTTTTCGTATTAAATATGTGAATTTCTTAAAAGTAAAACATTACAAATTAGTACTAAATCATATTAGTTAGAATTCTCTTTGTGTAAAACATTAATATACCTATTCTGTAATACAATATCATCACTTAAGAAATACTCCACAATTCATTTTCTTTTCAACACTTAATCTTAATATGTGTTATTTATCGATATGTGTTCTTATTTTTCTTCTCGCATGTTTTCAAGCCTTGCTTGTTTTTTTTTTGGTGACAAAGGATTAATAATTTCTAATATATTATCTAACTTTGTATTTATCTTCTCTATTGGAGAAAATTTCCCTAGTTTGAAATCCATTTTCGTAGGGGTTATCAGCACTGTAATTTTCTCTACAATTGAAAACCAACTTATATCAGTTTGTGCTTAGCTAAATAGTTCTGATACTAATGGAACTATAAAAAATGAATATGTATAAAACTATATAACTTACTTCTCTTTATTCATATATCACTGAATTGAGGTTATGTTTCTGACTGGTGTGTTAGAAATTTCAATTATTACATGACAAATCAATTATCACAATACATGAACAGACTTTGCATTGAAGGCGGCCTATATACTGCAAATGACTAAACATTATTAAAATAATTTATAAATTAAAATATATTTCAGTACAATTAGACTCACCTTGCCAGTTTCATATTAAATACTTTTCCAGCTGACTGTTTAACTAATTTCTACAACTGATTTCGCAATAAATATAAAAGCAATTAATAAGTAACGCTTCAATAAAAGGAAATATCTTGCATTTCAAGCATACACGATAAAATACTCAATTATGCGTCCACGATGCACTGACCGAGTTAACCTATATTTAATTTGACATTTCGATCATAAAACACTTCACGGCTATTGTCAAAAGCAAATGTATGTGGCAGTGCAACGTACCACGCCACGTACCGACACATACGAACAAAGCAGTATCATAAACGTTTAAACGCGTCGACGGTGGTTAAAGCTCACAACTATACGTAACAGCATCGGTTTTTTTACTTAACATCATTTTCGAAACGAAAGTTACGAAATGAGTTACGTGGATTTAACTTCTGTGGTTTACTGGGCACTAGTAATTTTAAAGAAACAACAACAAAATAATCAAGATCGATTTTCCGCCTCTAATGGGACAGAACTTAAAAATGTTCCAGAAGAATTCTAACCTCACATGTTATCAAACTTGATAAAAATGAAATTTTGTCTAAAATTAATGATTTGAGTGAAAGCATAAATAAAAATGAATTTATAAGACTTGTTACTAATAGTCATAGGTCCAAAAAGTCAACATATGAATAAAGTATAACAAGGTACAAATAAAATAAACTTAATATAAGTACCCAACTGTAATATTAACAAAAGAAACAAATATTTGTTTCTGAAACTATACAGGCGGGCAATGAAATTGAAACAGCAACTAAGAATAAATCAGAGACTAGATATATATATATATATATATATATATATATAAAATATACAAATACTTTTGTACAGATTTTGCAAGAACAAATCCGGGACTATTGTATAAATACCGGTATTATTGTATAAATGCAAATACCAGTACTATTATATAAATAAAAATACTGGTATTATTGTATAAATACTGGTAAAAATCAGAAAATGCAATCCAGTATTGTAAGCCCTAGTTGTCAGTAAAACAATGGATAAAAATATGGAATTAATATATTAAGTATAAGTATAATATATAAGGATTTTATAGCATAAACTTAATTCTAATTATTGTTATCACTTTTCATACATTATAATTCTTTCTTCAATATATATATACAAATACTTATATACAGATTTTGTGTGAACAAATCTCATTCTGCAGCATGCATTAACAATTCATGTTTCTCTAATGATTGCTTTGTTATGAATATTTTATTACATGCCTCACATTTAAGAGAGCATCCTCCATTGTGGTTCAATTTATGCCGATTTAATATGTATTTCGTTGCAAATGATTTATTGCATATCTCACACTTATTAGGCTGATCTTCGATATGAATCATTTCATGTTGTTTTAATATATATTTTGATTTAAATGTTTTACCACATGCCTCGCAATTATAAGGTCGCACATTGATATGGATCATTTCATGTTGTTTCAATAAATGTTTAGTTGAATAAGACCTGTTGCATATCTCACATTTATAAGGTCTTTCTCCCTTATGGATCATTGCATGCGCATTCAATGTGTATTTTGATGCAAATGTTTTATTGCATAACTCACACTTATAAGGTTCTCCCATATGGGTCATCTCATGTTGTTTTAATATATACTTCGTTTTAAATGTTTTATCACATATCACACACTTATGAGGGTGTTCTTCAATATGGACTATTTCATGTTGTTTCAACATATATTTCGTTTTGAATGTTTTATCACATGTCTCACACTTATGAGGGTGTTCTTCGATATGTACTAATTTATGTTGTTTCAACATATGCTTCGTTTTGAATGTTTTATCACATATCTCACACTTATAAGGTCGTTCTTCGACATGGACAATTTCATGTTGTTTTAATGATTGTGCAGTTTTGAAAGTTTTAATGCATAGCTCACAGTTATAAGGACGCTCCCTATTCATGTCAAGGTTTTCCTCCTAAAACTTGATGATTGCTATACCTATTGGTGGATGGTGCCGCAGATTTTAAAAATCGCGGCACACGTATTTCTTGTTCGTCCAGAATTAGTTTCTGCAGATATTTTCGAAGCTTGTTTGTTCTAGTAAACAAAATATTAATTCTTACTATATTCTAAGATATATTTATAATGGTTTTGCTCAGGTTTGTGTTTTTATAACTGTTACAAATATTTTATAACTGTATATAACCCAAAAATTAACAAAACACTTTGACATTTCAGTTTCCATAGATAAAGATTTAGGAATATATAGATTACCCTCTCGGACCATTTCTAGTTGCCGCGTATGGTCGATTGAATCTCGATTCAATTCTAGGGGCGCTTGCGTTCGCTTTAAAGATTTATGCATAGATAAAAGAAGAGTACAATCAACCCTCGGTTAACACGGCACTCTGGGTGCGCGGTTCCCATACTGCGCGGAGCTAATAACCCGACATCTCTCCGACTACACGGACTTCCTATTACACGGTTTTTGTTCAACAGCTCATAAGTTCCTTGTGCAACCTATGAGTTAGTGATGTGCCGACTCGAAAAATTCCCGATTCGAATGATTCGAATCAGAAAAAAACCTGATTCGAATAAACTCGAATCAAGTATATACAGTAAACCCTCGCTTTACGCGGCAAGTGCGTACCGTGCAGTATAGGAACCGTGCTATAAGAAACTCGTATTTAACATAAAATTTAGGCTATTCATAGTGCGCGACGCAGTAGTCAGCTCAAACGTGTTCTTAGGCGGCTATTATACAATCAGGCATGTCTAAAAGATAAAAGTCGATAACAAAATTTACATCAATACCCTTTTGCACAACGAACTTATGGGCTGTTCACCAAATACCGCGTAATAAGAAGTCCGTGTAGTCGGAGGGATGTCGGATTTTTAGCTCCGTGTAGTATAAGAACCGTGTACCCAGAGTGCCGTGTAAAGCAAGAGCCCATAGATAAGTAAACATAAATAGATCGCTATCTGATGCCATTTGACATTACCTTCATTTTAATATTTTTAGCGATCTAAAGGCGGCAGCACTTGTTCAGTATATAAATCAACCGCTGGTATTATTCCTAGATATGGTTCGCATACGTAATTCAAAATAAGAAAACCTAAATAATTTCTTATATTGGAAATAAGAAAAAAAATATACGAAGTACAAAATATATTTTCAAATATATCACAAACATTTTACATAACAATTAAAATTTTTATAAATGTAATAATCAATATATACACAATAATAAGTATTATAATTTCACAATTATAAGTAACTAAAAAAAGTATTCACAATGGTATGATAAATTTACAAGGAACGATCAATATGAATTACTTAATGATCAATAATATTTAACAACTAAACAGAGATTGCGTAGAAGCATTTACAATAAAATGTTAAACTTAAAAGGAACGATCAATATAAATTACTGAATGATCAGAATATATAACTACACAGAAATATTGTAAAAATTTTCATAAGTATAATTAATTTACACGAACTGAGTAATATTAATTACTTAATGACTAATAGCAATATATCAAAAAGAGAAAAGTATGTAGTATATAGAGTATATACTATAGATAATGGAATAATATAATTAGAAGAAATGATAAATAATGAACAAATTTAAAAAGTTAAATCCTACAGACATAAAATATATATATTGATATCAAAATTTATAGAAAACTAAATTCCAAGAATTAAAATTCATTTATGAGTAATTCTTCTTTAACATTGACTTTGCATTTGATAGTTATTTTGCTTTCCAATCAATCATTAATAAAGCTGCATTCTACAAAATCTTGAATTTCTTATGATTTGATTGTGTCAATAGAACAGTGCAGCAGTCCTTTCGGCTGGAATGTTGAGAATATTTCTGAGCATTTTATACTCTGTTGCAATTTATACCTTAAATTATAGCATTGTTTGTCTATCCTTCTTAACTCCCTCAACATATAATGGATGCGTCATACATTTTACATGCCATTTAGTCACTACATTCTGCTGCAATTTGTGAACATCTAATAAACATAACATGTTGTAATATAATATCAAGTCGTAATAGCAAATGGTATTAAAATATTCAGAATTATTATTACCCTTTCCACTGGAGTTGCAGAGTGTTCTCCTGGGCATATATCAGATTGTCTTTCTCTTCTTATATCACTGTGAACTACAGACATGAAAACTATTCTGTGAAATATAATTGGACATTTCTAATTTGTTCACTTTACAAAGCCGGAAAGAAGTGCATTTTTATATTATTTCTGAAGTTACCACAAGTTGGTGCGTTACATTTTTCCATATTAAATTTCACATAAATGCTTACTTTAATACAATTAATTACAGAAACAACATCGAACCACAAACTTTAATACAAAATGGCGATGGCGAGAAAATCTAAGCGAGTAATTTTGACGTTTTTTGAAACTAGTAGCGACATCTTTTTTTCGCTAAAAATAGTAGTCCTTTCCAAAACAGGGTAATATACATTTGTTCGGAGATAACTCCCCATGCGAGGGCCTACTGTATATGGACAAAAAAAATCATGGATGTATTAATTTAGTAAAAGTGATCTAAATTTATAATCAAAATTGTCAGTTTAACCAATATAACCGACAAAGTAGAAATTGTAGACATAAATTACTATCAAAAAGTATATTCTGAAAATTATTGAAAATGATATAATTTTGAGGACGGCTGAAACATATCTTCAAATTAATTTACAATAATAGATTATCAAACAATTGTGCATCACTAAAGCATATAAAATAATATTTGGAATAATGGGTCTATTGTTTATTTTACTATGTAATTAGTAAAGGATCGCATCTAAACTGAGAGCTGAAAGTTAATTTCATTAATGTGAATTTACCATTACTTACATAATCAGAAGTCAACATATTATTTACTGACTTTCTGGTGTTTAGTAATTGTTTCAAAAGAGAATTATATTGAAAGATTCCCGAAACACGTTTTATAATTTCGAGTGGTTTATTCTGATAACATTTAAAATCTAAAACACTTAATTATTATCAAAATTGGGTATTGATATTTCACGAACAAAATCGCTCTCAGCGTTTCGTAAAATAAATAAACACGCAAGAACGACGACGCCTGTTTCGAAGTCGCTTGATATCGCCCATACGGTTAACTCATATCGCGTGAATTCATATCGCTCGAACGGCTTGAAGTCGGAATGATTCGAATCGGAATTGAAGTCGGAATAACTCATAACGCCGCTTGATTCGGTTTGACTCATATTCACTCATTAGTTTTTGGCAAAGGCAGGCCCAGCCATTCCGAAGATACGGAGCTAAATATGTAAAAAATAGCAGTTTTTGAGAGAACTATGCGTCCGATTTGAATGATTCAAAGAATTCTCCGCTTGTCTTAGCAAAATAATTGATTTTGGAAAAAAAAATTTTGTCCGTTTTTTTTTTTTTTTTTTAATTTTTTGTATATCGAAAATAATTCAGATTTTATTTTTAATTCTGACTATAGTTAAACAAATAATTTCAACTTTCCAATTCAGTTTATGTAATTCTTATAAATTAGACAATGTTACAATCAGTGGCGGATCCAGGGGGGGGTCACGGGGGTCATGACCCCCCCCTGAGCCTGTTGTAGGACTTAGATAAAACACTAATTTAACAACAAAATTACTTCATAATGATTTCATTCACCAAACACATTATATAACTTAAATATTTAACTGATTGTAGACGAATGGCGGAGTCAAAATCCCTAAAATTTAAGGATTTTCCAATCGTATTGCGAATAGCTGTTTTATTACAGTTTAGGAAAAAAAATTCATTCAAAATTCAAAAAATTAAACTGACTGTGAGTGGCCCTTACGCATGAACTTTCTGTAATATTAACATCTGTAAATGTTAATCAATATATAAACTAGCTGTAAGTGTAATTCTGTCTTAAGGCAATTAGGGCATCGTGCCTTAAGGCAAATTGCTGGAACTTCCCGTACCAAAAATTATTATTTTTTTAAAAACAATTAACATTTTTGAAAAAATTTTACTTCGAAAAAAAATAGATTTTTGAGAAACTATAAAATTGACAAAATATTACTTTTTTTTAAAAAAAAAATTTTTTTTGAAAACAAAAAATTTTTTTTTAAAAAAAATGTTTTCTTTATTTTGACATATTTTGGAAATTTTGAACTTTTTTTCAAAGCAATCGCACTGCTTGAACTGCATAGAGACGAAATGTCAAAGCACGCAAGTGCCGCGCCGCCGTCTAACGCATAAGCATTGGTACGGAGCCCATAGGAATGTAAAAAAATGTATACTTATTGTTAAAATCTCTATCATTTTTAACCGCCCAATGGCATTTTTTTTTTACTTTTTTCATTAGATCTCCGAAACCGCTAGACCTGCCTTTATGAAAATTTGATCAATTCTATATCTTGTCAATACAAGTAAAATGTTTTTTGAATTATTCAAATCGGACGCTCCGTTCTCTTAAAAACGGAGGTACCGTTTTTGGCACTTTTTGCCCCGTATCTTCGGAATGGCTAGACCTGCCTTCGCCAAAAAGTAATCAGCACGTCTCCTTATCAATACGAATCGAATGTTTTTTGAATTATTCAAATCGGTTGATCCGTGTTCCCGAAATCGTCGACGAAAATTTGTATCCGCACATACATACACACACGTACATACATACACACACACACACACATACATCCATTTTTTCTAAGGTATGCCAAAATGTTCAGAAACCTCTGAAACGTGAAGATATATGAAAATTTTCATTTTCGATTTTTTTGCGATTACTATAACTTGCCCTACGGGAAGTTAACTAGTGGTGTTTGGCATCGTGCCTTAAGGCAAATTGCTGGAACTTCCCGTACCGTAACGAAATGTTCGAGGAATATTAAATGTTTTCAAATAGATTATTATAAATATTTTAACAGGGTCTAATATTTATAAGAACTATATAAACTGAATTGCAAAGTTAAAACTATTTATTTATAGTATAT